TGGCTCGGGGTGGGGGCGAAGTTAAAGCTCGAATTGGCAGTAGGTGGCATTTTGTGGCGTGGCTTTGCCTTTAAGGGACAGCGGAAAGTCATTCACTTGGCAGCACCTGCCCCCTTCCCCTTGCTCGGAAACAAACTTGCTGCCAGATGCTACTTTTTTTTCTTTATGTTTATTGATTTCCAGCACGCCCCAGGGAAGAACATTATCTGAAAATCTAATTCCTAAAATTAGGAAAAATCACATTAAATATGTCAGGCTGAGCTATTCACAGAGGAAGTAGTAACTGTGATGCTTTCCATGCGTGCCCTTTCCTTGCTTCATTAGCCCGGTTCATCTGTATTGGTCATGGCAGGGCTCCCTCTGAGGTTTTAGGCGAGTGTGTGTTTAAACAAGTTGTGAACTGGGGCCTTAAGGTGAACACGTTTGTGTCCTAGGAAGGGGAAGGATGTTCTGAGTGTGGTCTTTGGTCAGTGAGGTAGTTAATAGCAGTGAAATGTTCCACTTGCCCGATTTAGCGGAATTGTGTGATAGTTTTCTGCCGTTCCTGATGTGCTGCAGAGGAGTAGCAGAGGGCAGGGGCTGTAGAGGGTTCTTTGAGGTGTGTGTTACATAAGCCCAAGTTTGTCAAATGCACAAGATTCTGTGTAGTGTTACAAATAATAAGATGAAACGTAAAGCAAGGTTGAGGAGTTTTCATCTTGCTTTCTTGAATATACTGTGGGGAGTGATTTTTCCAGCAGTACCATCACTGTCGTATTAAGAGTTCACTTTGCAGGTAACTTATCAACACTTCAGCACCTGGAAGAACTAGAATTGTAGCAGTGATTGAAAAGGATGTAGTCCCTTCAGGAATGTTATCTCTGAGGAATTATTGGTCTAACTTTATATATATATGTATATATGTATGTATGTGTGTATATATTTATTTAACATTTCATCTTTGAAGTCTGTAAGAGGGCACAGGACACTGATCAGCGGCTGTCTTTCTTCAAGCTTATTTTTTGGCTTTTTAAAATTTTTTTCATGCTCAAAATATATCAAGTATCATTTGCAAAGCTGGATTTCTTGTCTTGTAGCTACTTGTAAGTGCTGACCTTGATCCTCTATGTATAAGAGCAGCTGAAAAATCCCCAAACACTTTCTAAATTGAACAGAAATCAAATCACCTCTCTTGGAAACCCACCTACTGCTGAGGTGAAACATCTCAAGGAGCAAAAGGGATACAACTGTGTGTGTGTGGGGAGGCATAAAGTTGTCTCTGAGAAGAGTTTGCCTGTGTGGCAGAAGGATGTGAGTGTCGGGCTGTGGTCCCTTCTTGCATGTTGTGTAGAACATGTTGGCATCCTGCATTCCCGAAACCAAAGGTGTCCAAAGGTACCTTTGCTCTCTGAGAGGTTTTTCACACCTTGTCACTATTGCAATGGCAGCAGCTGGCTCTGCTTGCCTCCTTGTCACTGGTCCATCTTCCTGGAGCTCAAGGGCTTGTAGGAGAAGACATCCAAAGACTGCAGGTTCCCGTGGGACGATGACGTTTGGAGACTCAGGCCCTTCCTCCAGGGAGTCTGCTCTGCACACAAAGGGTCATGTCAAAAATTACTTGAAGAAGTAGGAGAGGGCAAAGCAGACTCATCTCTGCTTGAAGTTCTGAACGGGGTTAAAGGGGGTAATGGAGGGGGATAATGAGGTAAGACCAAGGGAGGATGCATCTCTGTCTGATTGTTCTTACCAAAGATATTCCTGATGCATTTTTCAGGAGGCAGTTAGCATAGGAGCCTCAAGTTGAGAGACTGTTGCCTTTCTGAGCTGGAGACAGTGACTTTCCCCAAACTCTGTGGGACTTCTCCATTGGATTCACCTACAGTGGATTCATAACAGGCAGCAAGACCTAAAACTGCATCCTCCGAGCTCCTTTAAAGCAGTATAAGACCATTGGCCTCACAAGGCTTTGGTTCAAGTCAGCTTGAGCTTGAACCAGGAGTGCAGGGCCTGTCTTGGAGCAAAAACGTCCTCTCCTTGGAGGTTTCCAGATCGTGGTGGTGATATCTTTGAAACCCTTTTGGGGAATGCTGCTGTTGGTCTGTCTGCAGAGAAACATCCACTGGGAAATGACCAGGATGTTAAATGAGGCAAACATGGACCTAAAGGTGGGCGTGAGGGAATGACACGTGATGGACTCACAGCTCTGCAGGGACGGGCACAACATTGCTGTGATTGCAGGTGCACAGGCCTTTTCCTGGGATGTCCTAGTGCAGTGAGATGTGCCAAGGCATGAAGAGTGTCAAGGACTAGCCTGGTCAGCCAACAGACCTGGAAAGAGCAATAGCAGCGTTTACTGGGTCCAGTGGAGAGCCAGCAGAGGCAGCCAGCTTCTCAGGGATGCACTGAAGGATGAGTGTTGAGCTTGCCAGAGCCTTCCTGGTGAAATATTAATGCTGTAAATTTTCAGTTCATTCAAAACAACTTCAAGGCCATGCCAGTTCTGGTGGTGCTTTCCTCAGTGAAGATTTTCTGCATCTCCGGCAGAGATTCTTCTCAAAGTGAGAAGAACCACTGCAGCTCCTTGGAGGCATCGAGTAACCTGGGGATGATTTTCTTTCTAGTATGGGAAGCTCAAGTTAAAGATCCTGAGCTGAGCAGGGTCTCTGAGATGGGTTTCTTTTCTGAACTGCATCCAGTAGCTGGGCTGTTGGAGGGCCTGCTTGGGGTCGCCTTGCAGGAGAGCCGATCCTTTAACTAGCCTGAGCCAACTGAACAGGCAGCGCAGCAGGGAGCTGAACCTGGATCTGCTGCAGCCTCTCACCCACCCTTCCCTGGGCAGGACCAGTCTCAGAGCTGCGAGGGTCTGCTGACCCCATGGCCAGGTTTAGACCTCTGGCCCACCTTCGGGTTTGATGGGGTTGGAAGTTGGTTCCTTGGGTGTCCCGTGGCTGTGGCCATCGCTGCGTGCCCAGGGTCGGCAGCCGCTCCGGAGCTGCTGGGTGCTGCGTGACGGCGGGGCAGCACCCAGGGCCTGGAGCCAGCACAAACAGCTCTGTTATTTAATGGTTTACTCTTGTTTCTAACGCCAAATCTTTGTCTCTGCCACCATTCTTGTTGACTTCCAAAGGGTACGAAATTGGCATTTCATTCACATTAATTTCGTTTTTATTTTTTTTTCCTGCTCCTGCTTAAAATAACAACAGATCAATATGTTGACTTTACGTGACTTATTTGATCCTCAAAGTCACCGTCCATTTCTAAGTGGAGTTGTGGGCAGTGGAAGCCACAACCTCATCTTTCCTACACAAGAAGACATAGCAAATGAGTTACAATGCAGCTCATGGGTGCCAGATCACAACTGGCTTTTTTGAACCACGCTAATGCATGTTTACAGGAGCGGTCTTTGTTTTGAAGCCATAGATTAAGTGCCCTGCAGCGCAAAATACCCAACCACCTTCATTACTCTCACCCTTGGTGTAGATACTATTATCATGCTTCATGGAGGAGGATATGTAATGAGGAATATATGGAGAAATGTAACCTGGCCTGGCAGGATCTCAGAGTAAATCATGTGTCTTAACTCCGTACTTTGCATCATGCACTTATCCATAATTAAATGATATGACTCCTACTTTCTTAAAAATTCTTTTTCATTCTCAAGCACCCTTTTCACAGATCTATTTAAAACCGCACCTGCCAACCATATGCTTGAAAAAAGGCTCCAGCAGCGAAGACAGGAAATTCCAAATTCTTACCACAAATTAAATGTTGCCTGGTAATTACCAGGGACAAGAGGAGTGTGCTTGATGCAGTTATGGAATGATTAGTGAGTTTGGCAATAAATTTTGCTTCCTCAATCTGTCCATCGTTCCTCATAACGTTCCAGCCTTCTGTTCCCTGCTAAGTCTCAGTTTCACTCCCCAAGTTTTATAATGCTGAACACAATATATATTATTAAAATCTATAGTGTAAATAATAGTGTCAAATACTGAATAAATAATATAAATAGTAGTATTGAAATTTGTACTAAATGGCCCACCAGGGTGGGTGGCTGACCTCCTGCTTGCTCCAAAGGGAAGTGGGGCTGCAGGTAGATCCCATATCTCTAAGCCACTTACAGTGTCTCCCTCCTGTTTGGAAAATAAGAAAAGGCTATCGGGGGCAGTCAGAGAAAAACCCAAACCTAAAATCTGAATGATTTCTCCTCAAGTCATCTGAAAGCCGTTGTCGGACCTGCTGTGTCTCCAGGCTGAACGTCGTCTCTGTTTCCTTGCAGGCGTCTTTCCCAGGGAACCTACACTTAGTGATGGTTCTTCGTCCCACGGGGTTCTTCCAGCGCACCTTCACCGACATCGGATTTCGGTTCAGTCAGGAGGATTTTCTGCTCAAGTTGCCGGTACGCGCCCATGGAGGTGTCATGCCCGTGCACCTCGGGCCAGGGGGTGACCCTGTCTCACTCCACAGGCACCTGTGTGAAGAGTAACCACAGTGTCTCTGCCAGAAATGCCCCACCAAATCTCTCTCCACCAATCTCTCCTGTAGTGGTTTTTTTTTCAGGTCCCTTACACAAAATTTGCTCCGAGTGGAGCATGGCTGTGGTGGCGGGTGGTGGGCTTCTCAGCTGCCTGCTTCTGCGGAGGATAAAAGCGCACTTGGGAATTTGTTTCATGTCTGCCAAGTCAAAAGATGGGTCTAGTGAAGCTTTTGCTCTGAATCCCAGCCGTAGTTGCTGTTTTCATCTCAGTGTAAACTCCGTAACAACACCTGAAAGGACATTGTAGAGAGGTTGTTGCTGGTCTCTTCTCATGGGTAATGGGTAGTAGAACCAGAGGGAATGGCCACAAGCTGCAACAGGGTAGATTTAGGCAGGATGTTAGGAAAAAAATTTTCAAAGCAAGAGTAATCAGGCACTGGAACAGGCTGCCCAGGGAGGTGGTTGAGTCACATTCCCTGGAGGTGTTTAAAGCTCATTTAGATGTGGTGTTGGGGGAGATGGGTTAGGATATGGTTTAGGTTTAGGTGTGGACTCTGTAGAGTAGGGTTATAGGTTGGACTTGGTGATCCGAAGGGTCTTTCCCAACCTGAATGTTTCTATGATTCCATGATTCTGTTTCTAACAGAATCACAGAATCTATGAAAATACCTTTTAAGATCGAGTCCAGCCATTGATCTAGCAATGCCAAGTTCACCACTAGACCATGTCCCTGAGCACCCCATCTACACATCTTTTAAATATTCCCTGGGCAGCCTGTTCCAGTGCTTAACAATGCTTTTGGTGAAGAAATTCATGTTGGTATTTGTTTATGAAGCAACAATTGAAATGGTTTTTTGTTCTCAAGTCAATGTTTCCAAGACTTCTAAAGCCACCTTGATTATAGGACATAAGGAGAATAATTAAGAGAAGAAAAGTACATTTATAGAATCTAAGATTGATGCAATTACAAAAAAGTAGAATTTTCACAAACTTTTAATTTTTCACTCTAAAATGGTTGTCATTTGCATGGCTTTGAAAATTCATGTCTTATCCCAGGGCAGATTAAGAAACATGAAAATTCGTGAGTATATATTTATGTGAAATTGGCCTGTGCTTCATAACTTATGAAAATGCATGTATTATTTCTGGATTACTGGTCGTCCCTAGCGAAATCCTGCATTACTTTTGCTTTCAGCTCTGTTCTGCAGTCAGATACTGCAGCATCTTGCTGTGCTTTGCATTTAAAGAGTAAAGCACCTGAGAGATCAGTGTTGGCTTGCAAAATGCATCAAATAAATAAAATTTTGTCAGGTGAAAGCCACGTTAAGCCATAACCCTAAGAAGAAAGCCACGCTGGAGAACCAAACTCAACAGAGCAAACTCAGTTTTTAGATACAGGAAGAACTTGTAGGCTTGGTGCGTGTATGACTTGGGTAGAGGCGATGATCAGCTGACTGAGAGTGTTGCTCTGTTGGTAGGTTGTGATGCTGAGCTCGGTCAGCGACCTCCTGACGTACATCGATGAGCAGCAATTAACCCCGGAGTTCGGAGGCACCCTGGAGTACTGCCACAGCGAGTGGGTCATCTTCAGGACTGTACGTACCGGGGCTCAGCGCTGGGCTCTCGGATGTTTGGGATCGATTGAGGGAGGTTTTCCATAAGGCAGTGAGCAGTGGGTGGCTGAAAGTAACCCCTGAAGCCAACTACAACTTCCCTCGATCAGATTTGCAAAGGAGTCAAGTGATGTTGGGCACTCGATGGATTTATAAGGGAACTGGATGATTAACTCCCTCAGTCTCCTTTTGAAACTGGTCCCAAGAGATCTGTCTTCCTTAGTCTTTATTAAGATTCCCTTAATGGTAGATACAAAATAGGCTTTTTTTTTTCTTTTTAAATGATGGTTCCTTAATGTGATGCATATCACAAATGTGTTTGGGAACCAGGGCAGCGAGACTGCTCTCTGTGTACTGACTGAAGGCAGAGAATTCAGGAAATTTACCCTTTTTTTTTTTTTTTTTGGCAATTTTCCTTTAATACTGCCAAGAATCTGGCATTTAATCACAGGCAAAGCTGTGCCTTGCCATGTGTTTCTATGATTCCTGTATGCTCTTAGTTTTTGCTGGGACTTTTGCCTCCCAGATCAATGGCAGGTTGGACTCTTGGTTACCTTCCCACCACATCAAAGCACTAAGAAGAAGTGCCCCAGACATCCTGGTGCCCCTTGTCCTGCAATATCATCCTCACCAGCAAATGTGTAGCTTAGTGTCAAGACAAAAGCACAAGACATCATAGCTGGAATAACTCAAGCTGTTGCTCATGCCCTTAACTTTGTGCCAGATTACACTGATGCGCTGCCAAATTAAGGAATTTTTCGAATCTTTGGCTCTTAGTTTTGTTCTTTTGCCTGATGCGTTAAAGCGATAATGGCATAGCTTTCACACTTGTAGACAAAAATGACAAAATGAGTGACAAATGTTATTCTAAGAACAGAGTAGTTTCTAGATCATAGCTGCCTGCAGTAGATAAGTGTTGATGGGAGAAACCTCTCTCAAAATTCTTTTGTAGTGTGCTTATAAAACATTTCCTGAAATTTCTACAGAAGGTACACACTGGTTAAAGAAAATACAAATGCAATCGGTTACATTTGAGTTTATTGCCCTGTTCTCAAAAGTGGCGGCAGAGCTGTGATTGGGGCTGGGAGAGCCCCACCTCGCCCCGTGGTGGGGGACCTGCCTGGTGTCCAGAGCTCCCGCTGGCTCTCTGGGATGTGCTGGGGAGGAACCAACTGCACTCATTTCCATCCCACTTGTCTCCGGCTTGTCTCCGACACGCTGCCTAGCTCCCTCCCTTGTCCCCTTGGTGAAGCTGCAGATGATGTGGCTGTGGTGCCAGGCTGCCTTGTAACCCGCCATTTGGGCTTGCAAAGCTGGAAACATCCATAACCAAGAAGCCAGATACATCTCCAAAGCTCTGCTGCCTGGAGATTGTTCCCAGCATGGGTTACAAGTGGAAGAGAATAACAGAAGAGGAGTTACAGGGATTTGTGACATGGGTCCTACAGTGGCTTCTGTTATACTATGTGGTAGGAAAAAATCTCAGAGTGCACAAAAACAGGCAGCAGAAAACAAGGTATGTCCACTGCTATCCTAATTTAAGTGCCTGCTATGGATTCAGACTGCACTGAAAGCCACCTGCCATGTATTGGGGGCCACTGGCTAATGCTCCCCAGCACACATCAGCTCCGTGGGGCCGTCCCACCCTCCTCTGGGAGCAAGGCTGGGCTCCCCTGCAGATCTCTGCCTGGGCTCTTCACCAGTACTCTTGCTGAGCTAAGTCCCAAGCTGATTGCAGTTATCTTCTCCCACCAGGCAATAGAGAGTTTTGCACTAACCGTGAAGGAAATTGCACAGATGTTACAGTCCTTTGGCACGGAGCTGGCAGAGACCGAGCTACCGGACGACATGTACTCGATTGAGCGCATCCTGGCCCTGCGCACGGAGAAGTACTACCAGCTCAAGGTACGTCTGGCAGCGGCTCTGCCCTGTGTTTCCAGCCCATTTGCACAGCGAGATGGGATTTCCAGGAGTTTGCTGCTTGTTTGCATGGTGCCCACTCCTTCTTCCCTCCCATGCGCGTGTATGTGTTGACAGACAAAATAGAACGCGGCATGACTGTTTCTGTGCGTTACCCTTGCATTTGCCATCCGCTTGAGTGAATTACCCTGCCAGCATCCAGCAAACTGTCTCAGCCGCCACCTCCTCGCAGCTGCAGAAGTTGGTGTTTGCGGGGTGCTCCTCTGTGGGCTTTGCAGGTCCTGCCGGCTGCTCCGGGAGGCTTTGTCACCTGCGTGTTCGCGCCCCCGATGCGGTTCCATCTCGAGCTTCACCCCCATGGCTGGAAGAAGCTGCCCCAAAGATGGGCAGCAGATCTGGAGGGGTGGGTTATCCCTGGATCACCCCTCCTGCTGCAGCTTCCCTGGGGGAAGGTTCTGTGCAGGGTACAGAGCAGTCGTGTTGTCTTTGTGTGAGCCTTCATATTTCATCTCAAATATTGATTTTATTTTTTTTTCAACTAGTTGTGATTGTGATTACTATAATTCCAGGAGGTATTGGAAGCTTTAGTGCAGGCACCTGCTGCTGCTGCATCAAACTGTTGTCTTTGCTGCTCCTGCATCTTTTTGGGGGCAGCACAGACCTGTGCACAAACCCTCGCTTCAGAAGCAGTTCCCATGTTAGGAGCTGTGCTGGGCAGCTGAAGAATGAGCTCCTTTGCTTTCTGACAGGATTCGTTTATATAAATCGAAGAAGAGGATCTATTTTCATTTATAATCATTTGTCATTCACATGACAGCGAGTTTCCAGAAGGCTGCCTCTAAGAAATAGGCAAAATGACATCCAAAGTGTGCTGTGTGTAGGCATAAACGTATGTGTGTGTGCGTGTAGCAAGTATCATTATAGATACTGCCAACGTTCCTTTATTACTTCTTTGAAAACCAAGAGAGCTGTGGTGTGAAACAGCAGCTACATATATTGCAATATGACTTACTGACTTAAACTTCAGGCTTGCAGCCAAAGTGCAGGGAGCAAATATTGGCTACACGATGTAGTCCTGTATATAAACCTGTCAGTCACACACGTTTTCCTCTGCAGAGAAGTAAAACATGTCCTGTGTTTTAATTTGTGTAGAAAGCACAACAGGACTCAGTGCAAGTTGTTTTTAGTGCCTCGTCTACTAATTTCAAATATCAAAACCACTCGTTGGCTTTTGACTGAGGTGAAGTCCGTTGGCTTTTTTTTTCTTTTGTTCCTTCTAAGACCATGAGAGGTGAAAGCAGATGAGAAACTGCACGGATTGTGGTGACAGCAAGACATGGGATCCTTGTCTCTCATGACAACCCCAAGATCAGTACAGGTGATTCCTGAATTTAGATAATGAGTCAATCAGAGTAATTTGTGTAGCTGCAATACTGAACAGAAGCTGGTTGCAAACACAATGAAAAAATGATAGAAAATAATTAAATAGAGTAGCCAAGGAACTAACCTTTTCGATACCCTGAATGGGAAAAAATCAAGTTAACACCTGTCTGACAGTCGGGCTACTTTGTCGTACATATAACGAAGGGCTTTGAATCCAAAGGGGAGCTCGGGGCTCTGCAGAGCGAGATGTAAGAGGATGAAGTAAGAGCCACCTGTGGTGTGAGGCATGCTGCATAATTCCTCCTCCCTTTTGAGTCTCCTGGATGTGATAGTACCAAAAGGAGACGGGGTTTTTGCTTTGCTGTCATCTTCTGTGATGTTTTAGTGGTAGGGATGCAAATGGGTGTGTGGGAGAGGAGGAGCTCCTGCAGCCGTGCCATCCTGCTCCTGGGCTGCTGCCCCCAAGGTGCTGTTACGTTTAGGTTGCTGTGAGTTATCTGGGGCAGGCAGACGTTCAATCAAGTCTGTGCTTTCTGAATCTTCTCCCTAAAGTGGTTTTGCCGTTGTTTCTCTTGCAATAGAAATCTGGCCATCTCCTGGGATGAGATCCTAGTCCTCCAGGAGGTGGCTCTCCAACGGAGCCATGCACAGGTCTCTCCTTCAGGTTTTCTCCCAGCTCAGTTCATAAGCCAGATCTCATTTCTCCTTCCTTCTCACCTCTGTGTTTGGTCATTTTTTTTTGAAAACACTTGAGTAAATGCACTTGTTGGCTTTGGGGCTGAGCCCAACACAGCACAAAGCACCTGAGCTGATGCTAATGAACACCCTGAGGGACTGAATGTTCTCGAAGCTGAGGTTGAACTGAAAGTGCTGACTTGCCTCTGTTCTAGTAAGTGGTGCCCCATGGTCTCAGCCCCAGCTTTGTCCCACCATGGGATGTTCTTCCTACAACCTCCTGTGATGACCTTGATGGGGAAGCACAGCCTCCAAGCTGCAGAAACACTTCCTTGAACACGTGAACCTAAAGGTGTGACACAAGCGCATCTGCTCACCGAGAGAGAGATCTGTGGTAGTGCCGTCCTCCTGCCTCTTGAACAGTTTTGTGGCCCGATGGTTTCAGGTGTGATGGTTTCCACCCAGCCTGGTGACCAGCCCATGGTTCAGCCTCCTCCAGCTCCAGAGGCTTAACCCCATGTTGAGGGGGCTAAAACATCTGCTGGGAGTCCTTTGCTGTGATGGATGCTGGTGCTTCATTTCATATGGGGAAACTGAGGCAGGAGAAACACGGGATGACTTACCCTTACCTCACAAAAAGTAGCCTGAATCAGAAATGTTTTGCTTTACACAGGAAGATATTACAGCAGTCACGAAAGAGGGAAACTTGCTTCTGAGCAGTTTTGAAGAGCCTGACTCCGGGGAATGCAATCAGGACCAGCACCGCGAGAGGCCTGGGGACTGGGAGACCGTGAATCGGTGAGTGTGCCATGATCCGAATTTGCCTGACATTTTGAGTGGAAACATTCAAGTTATTAAAGCGTAGATATGTTGTTTAGGTCACCCATTAAAATGTTTAGGTCACCTATACCAGAGTTTTGCACCAGACCCATCAAATTCTGTGAAATGGCTTTGACCTGCTCTGATTTTTAGCCCTTGCTGATACGATGAGGCTGTGGAGCAGGTGCAGGGTTCTCCCATGCCAGGCTCCCAGGTGTTATTCCAATAAGTGGTGATAGCAACCACTGCTTCACACAGGTGCTGTCATCTGCAGCGGTGATTTCATTAGAATTCTCCCTGAGATCCTCACAAGTCGCATGTATACGTCCGTTGTCTTCTCCTGAGAGCTTAGGTCTAGAAGACCTGAACACGTGATCTCTTGTCCTCTTATTTGCAAATTGTTCCAATCCTGTCCTTTTTCTTTTGTGCTCGAGGTTACTTGGTCAGCTGCGTGAGATGGAGACTGCTTTTGATGGCTTCTGGGAAAAACATCAGCTAAAAATGGAGCAATATTTACAACTGTGGAAGTTTGAGCAAAGTTTTCAAGAGGTATGACCAGATGCACTTTTCTGGCAGAATGAAGAGTTGGAGGTGAAAAGTAGAGGAGAGAAGTTTTTATGCTTTTTATTTTAAGAACGTTTAATTTATGCTGCTGTTCCTTGATTCTGGCAGGGCCAGCTAGCCTGGGGAGACCACTGTGCTTCCTCATTCAGAGCTAATCTAGGTATCACTGCCCTGCAGTGGCATAGATTTTGCTGATGGAGGCATCTTTGAATTTAGAAATTAGTTCTTGGACATTAGCTTTATTATTGGATTTAGAAGCCTTAGCTAAAGCGTGATGAACTGCGGTCGGAGAATGATTTTCTGCCTGTGCCTTGTATCCTTTTGCAACAGTCTTCTTCTTTGTGTCTAGGTCAAGAATGCCATTGAATTTTTAATGGGTCAGCAAGCAGAGGTGCCCGACACTGGTGACAGTGCCCCCCAAGTAAAGCAGAGGCTCAAGGACTTGGGTCATTTCGATGGTATGGCTCAGGTGAGATAATCTTTCACCAAAAGAGGCATTAATGAAACACAAGAGGTTCTGTGTTGGTGACAGGAGGTGTTTTCTGAAATGTCCTGAATCTGGTATAATTCGTTGGTAAGCGGCTGCGCAAAAGGATTGATTTCATGTCTCTGCTCTGCGCAGAGCAACGCTGTGATCACTCTGAAAGCCAGGAATGGGGTATTTAATTATCATAGTTAAAATAAATTGCTGAGCCACCATGAAAATCCAGAACAGATAAATGTCTGAACACAGGGGAGGCGTGGGAGTTAATGAGCTGGAAGAAGAATTATTTATATGTAAAGAGCTTTAGCAGTGCTAAGAGGCAGAGAGTTGTTACCAGGCACATGGAGAGGCAAAAAAGTTGCTAACTTGACATGTCTGTGATTTGAACATAACATATGGATGAAGACTTAAGAAGTGGAGGGGAAAGAAGAGTGGAGAGATGATTCACAGGAGCCCAGCTAAGGGTGTGACTTCTGTAAGGGGATGTGCTTGGCAAATGGGCCAGAGTCAGGGGAGCCGTCCTGAGGGACCTGGGCACAATGTCCAGAGGCTTCTTTGCAAATAAGGGCCCTAGGGGAAAGACCTGGAGCTTTTTGGCCATTTGGAAGAAATGTTCGTGGAGAGAGGGAGGAGGGACAAAAGGCCAAGCAGACTGGGTGCAGCAGGGAAGCAGCCCCAGCGGAAAGCCAACCCTGCAGAAGTTGTAACCGTTGCGCTGACCAAGGCGTGCAGGCAGGATAGTGTGTTCTTTGCATCGAGCTTTGCTGCACAGGGCCTGGTTTGTTTTCACCATGACCCTTAACTGCTCAAACTCCCTTTCATGCTTATGAACACAGTCCATAAGCTAGAGATCAGCTGCTTTTTTTTTTTTTGAGTGCAGCTTCTTGAGACAGCAGCAATGCTTTGGCAGCAGCCATTGCTTAGTTTGGTGAAATACTGTTTTCTTCTCCATCCTCTTTGTGGATAGCAGAAGTTTTTTTTCCCAGATGATGGGTGCCATTTTATCCTGCATAAGCCACCCATTCTGGTTACTCCTCATGGCAGTCACCTCTCTGTGTACCTGAGATCTGGTAAGATGAGAAAGTGTGTGTTGTTATATGTGGATATTTTGGCATGATTTCAGTAAGTGTGCAATCCGTTCTCTGCCTTTCACTGAAGGATCTGATAGGGAAGGCTCAGGTGGTGATACTACACGGACACCAGCTAGCAGCAAATCATCACTACGCCCTCAACTTAATCTGCCAGCAATGCAATGAGCTGCGGCACCATTCTGATGTCTTGTCTGATGAGATCAAAAGGAAGCAGATGCGACTGCAGAAGACCTTGGATCTTCATACCCGCCTTCAGCAGGTACAGTTCAGAGACTCAGTGCCCTGAGAAGTAGGTAGGTAGCTTCTCCGTGGGGTTAGACTGTCCACTTCTTAGCTGGAAGCATTTGAAATTTGCAGCTTTGCTTCAGCAGTTGGTGGGAGGAGAGTGTTCCCCAGAGGCTGGAGGAATGCTTCACCCCTCACTTAGCTGGTTAAGGTAGCAAACAGGTATCTGCTGGTGCTGTGAATAGTCAGCAGAAAGCGGTGGGCATCTCAAGCTCCGATGTCTAGCTGCTGCTGTCGATTGTGCTTTCATGCTGCACCCACATATTAACTGACTTTCGAGGTTTTCGTACCCGGTGCAACAGAGGTAATGCTTTCAGATAAACTCCAGTCCTGTTTTCTCACCGGCTTATTAAGACTGAACACAGTTGACTGTAAAATAAGGCAACAGATTGGAAGATAGGCGCAGCTGCTGTGTGCTAGGGTGGAAGTGGAGTCATGTGGCTCCAACGCTCTTTGATATCTTAATCAGCATCAAAAATTCATTTAGGGAAATTCACGCTAATTAGGCCAGAAGGCACACGACTGTAATATGCTTGAGGCTATTAAGAGAAACAACCAAGTTTGACCCTCTTCCACTTCACTGTTTCGGGGGATTAGGGAACTTGTTTTTTCTCTCTGCGTGGACTCCTCTGTGGGGATGGACCATTCCTCAGCAGCCTCTCAGCTGCGGGGCAGCGTCCTCTCCTGGGCTCCTCGCAGTCCTGGTTGGTGCTGGTGGTCTCGCCCACGGGCTCTGCTGGAGCACACCATGAGCCTGCTCCCCACGGCCACCCTTCATGTTCACAGCGCTGGAGGTTCTCTGTCGTTCTTGGCTGCAGCATCTCCTCCCGCCTGTGGACACCGCAGTGTGTGAGTGCCTGGCATTCAGCTGTGTGTGTCAAATGTCCAACTTTAAACTGCAATTTAAAATCCTTTTTTTAAAATATTTTTTTTAAAACATGATTATTTTAAACCGTGATTTAAAACGTGATTATTTTGATAATTCCTCACAGTTCAGGTCTGCGCTGAGACGAGCATTTATCTCAAGAAACCTGCGTGTCTCTTTGTAAACTGTCTAGTGTTCCCTTCAGCTTCCTGAGTTGGATGAATAAAGGTCTGCTTATCATTTGGTTCAGCTATGCACTAAATAGTGCTTCCATGCCTGTTATACCACTGGTTTTATCTAGGTACAAGTGGGAGCACAACTTGGCTGGGTATGTTGAGGACTGCAGTCGCCTTCCAGAAAAAATGTGGCCTTTCTACTCACCAAAATGCAGTAGCTGCTGAGGTCTTTAGGAGTACTAGTTAGCTCCAGACTGAAAATACAGATCTGGTAGATGATATTCCTGGTGGGCACCTGGATGCAATAGGGGTGCCGCTGACGGTCTCACTCCCTGCGTTGCCCCGTGCTGTCACCAGGCTCTGCAGTGCTGTGACGAAGGTGCCTACCTGCTCGCCAACCAGCAAATGGATAAGTGCCAGTCTAAGGAAGGCGCTCAGAAAGCTCTCCAGGACATAGAAAGATTTCTTGAAAGCTCTTCAGCCTACTTAAACTACGATCCCCAAGCCCTGCACTACGATTTTGAGTCCGTCTTAACATCTGAACTGAAGGTAAGCAACCCCTCCAGTCCCTTGTTACACAGGTGAGAAGCAAGATGGGGCTGAGTTGCGGCGTTGTTAGCTCTATAGTCCTCTGGTTTGGGTCAAAGCGTCAAATACGGGTAGTTATATGATAACAGGAGTCCTTTTCATTCTCTGCAGTGCCAGATACAGTCAGTGCAAGTCAAGCTTGAAAATGTCCGAAGCATGTTTGAGAACCGGCAGTCTTGCTTCAAGAAGCTCTTGGATAAACATGTGCGGCCTGTCCAGTTAGTAGCCCCTCGGCCAGAAAATCCACCGAGATCAAAATCACCATTATTCTCTCCTAAACATGGTAAAACATTTTCAGTTTTTGGTATTTTCAGATTATAATTTTGCTTTGAGACAGGAAAAGTAAGGCTGAGGATGGTTTTCAGAAGCAGCTAAACCTTGCTGGCTGGTAGGGATTTGTTGTGTAATGCTAAAAATGTATGAGATGATTTATTATCTCTCCCCTTTTTGTGTCCAGATGCCCATACCTCTCTGAAGAGTCGGGCTGCTTGCTTGGTATTTACTGTTGCTTCCTACTCAGTGAAAAAAGAGAGCTGTAAAACAGCGCAGAACTTCCAGTTCTGCTTTACTGGCATCCTACTGGGCTGAAAACTGGTGAATTAGTACTACAGGGAAAAAGGGGAAGGTTTATAAATTCATTAGCATAGCTATTCTCTGTGGCTCTCTTGAGCTGGAACTGACATAAAGCTAGACTGATGTTTGCGAAGGAGCTTGGAGAAATGAGGAGCTCAAATCTTATGAACAGAAATGAGCTGGATGCTTAACTCCCTTTGATTCCTTGAGGATGTCTTTCTTAAATCCCAATTGTAGAATAATTAATGCCCATAACGGTACAAATTCTGGTTGTACTGAGGTCGCTGAATGCTCTGCCCTGATTTCGTTAATGGGATGTGGCACAATGTTAGCTTTAAATGATAACATTAAGACTTTCATCCTTGGCAGCCCTGTTTATGTCAGAATTAAGAAGTATTCCAGAGTAACAGGCATGTTTTTCAAAGAAAGGACATGCTGAGTTATGTGGGAAAATTAAATTCAGTGATCTGACTTCATGGAGCAGTTAAACATTTGTGTTTTGACACAAAATTTTTATGGTGAATTAACAAATATTGGTTATGTTGAATTGCAGCGGGTGTCATACAAACGGTAAAAGTGGCTCCAGGTCAGGAGGCCATGTGTTGCCTGATCTAGTTGAGAGGCGTCCCTGCCCATGACAGAGAGGGTGGATTAGATGATCTCTGAGGTCCCTTCCAGCCAGGGCCATTCTATGATTCTATGATTCTGTAATTCTATGACTGATGAAAACAGCCGGGCTGGTGGAGGGCTGGGAAAGGAGCAGGGAGGGGAATTAAGCTGCTCAAGATGCAGGCTAGTGCAGCAAATAAATCCCAAATTTCCACTTTCCAGTCTGATGCCACCTTCACAAGACCACACCGCCCTCCGAACCCCTTTCCTCAGTCAAGAAAAAAGCTCCGAGTCTCTTTTCTCTGTTTTAATAAATGTAGCTTTCCCAGCTTTCTAGAAGCAGGAAAATCTAAAGGAGGAGTTGTTGACTCAGGGGTTAGGGGTAGATGCGTGGCCACCTCCGTGGGATGCTGTGAGACCGTGACCCATGAGCTGGACAGATTTCATGCCCTTACGGGGTGCGTGCTGTGCTGGCACAGGCACTCAGTTGCCGGCAGAGCAGAGGTGTCCTCCATTAACCCTCTGGCTTGAAGAGAGGGTCGAGCACGTTGAAATGAGCATAGCCAGCGAGTGGGGCAAGACAAAAGGCTCCTTTTTGTGTAGATGGTGCCAAGAGAGCTTTTTAATAAGGCCCCTGTTTGACACAAAGCACCAGAACGCTGCAGGCGGGCTGGTGTGATGCGCGGTGTCAGAGACGCGTGCTGGGCTCTGCCGGGGTGGGTGGCTCTTGTGGTGTGGATGGAGACCAAAGCACCTCCGAGCACACTGCTTTGTCCTCTTTTCCTTTTTCTTCCTTTTGTTTCCCCCCCACTTCTTTTTCTGTCTGAGGCCAGACACTTCCTCTTTCATCTTTTCCTTGAATTTGAAGCCTGTCTCGTAAACGTGGTGCTAATTTTGAAACCACTTTTTTGGGGAGCAGGGGGAAAAAAATCCTAACGCTCTCCTGTCCCGAGCCATAAAGCGTGTTGGGACAGGCAGGAGTGGTGGTGTAGGCTGCAGGGAAGTCCCTCTTGCACAGAATCACAGAATCACAGAATGTTAG